TCAGGGTCATGCCCTTCAAGGTTGCAGCCTTGATGCCTACCTAGTCTCAGCTCCAGAGCGTACCCACCACCCACTCCGACAAAGAATAACTCATATTTTCTATTCAAAGCTCAAGCAGAGTAAAGGTGGCTGATTTGCATCATAGGCCTATTCTTTCACTACAGAGATAAAGGAGGAAGCCATACCCCATCCTTCACATAGGTGTCCCTAAATTTCTTTTTTTTTTATTTTAAAAGAAACTTCTTATGTTTTATTTTTTATATTTGAGGGGGTGGGGTGCGGAGAGATTGAGACAGAATCTGAAGCAGGCTCCAGGCTCCAAGCTGTCAGCACAGAGCCTGACACGCGCCTCGAACTCACGAACCGTGAGATCATGACCAGAGCCGAAGTCGGACCTGAGCCACCCAGGCGCCCCTAAATTTCTGACAAAGAATTCATTCCACTGGCTTGCTTTCCAGAGGCTGACAAAGCTGGATGAACCTGGCTGTGAGTGTGCTTCTCAATGAAGCAGGTATATAATAACATCATTCATTATCCTGCTACAGAAATGTAATATTTTCAAAAGGTGGGGAACAAGAGAACCCCCTCTCCACACTTAAAGAATATAAAAAAAGCTTCCAAAATCCCGGAATATGTTAGAACTAGAACTATCCTGGATTAAAAAAAAAAAAAGTCAGCTTAAATTTAATAGACCGTTTAAATTCCTAGTTGACGGTAATTAGAGAGCAAGCAGCATTTCTTTAAACGCTGCGAGACAGAACTTAATCCAATTTAGGTAATCACTAACCTTTGCTGGTTTTTTCCTCCCTCTCTCTCCTCTAAATGGAATCCAAGGATTGATCTACAAAGGCCATAAACTGGCAAAGCATAAGAAAAGAATATTTAAAGCCAGAGATTGGGTGACTATTACCACAAAGGGCCAAGTCCAATTAAAATGGAAACAGGTCTCACAAGCTCCCTAAATTATATTGCCTACGAACTGGGGCTCCTAACCAGGCATCATCACAACAGAAGGTATGCTGAGGGAGATGGGGGTCCTCTCTCTGGGTACGTCGTGCGGCATGCCAATTTCCGGGTCTTGTACGGTGTGACAGCCATCCCCTGCCAGACCAATGCTACCAATTCTCTATATTCAAAGTATCTGCAGGGCTTCTCTCCTTCTTCCATGGAATAACAACTGTCAGAATGATCCATACTGTCCCTTCAGTTCCTCCACTGTTCACCCCCCTCCTAACCCCTCATTTTAGAGCTCCCACACTGCCCTTGCACCCACTTCTGATCCAGGAACTTCCATGTGAACCGCTAGGCCTTTCTTGAGTACTTGGCACCCTAGATTTTTCATGAAAGGCCTTCAAGGATAGGTATCAGAATGTGCTGCAGAGGACAAGGGGCTTGAGTTAATGGCTGTGTTACATCAGGAAAGTAATTAACCTCTCTGAGCCTCCATTTTCCCATCTCAACATAGAGAAAAGAATATTCACCTGCTTACGTTGCTGAGAGGCTCAAATAACATTACCATGATTGTACCTGGCTCATAATAGTTGCCCAATACATAAGTTGGCTTGTTTGTTTTAACTGAACAAGTTTCAAAGTAAACCTTGGATCCCCAGTCCCTGACAAAAATGTTAATTAACTCATGTTCACCTCTGATGTCTCATCACTGCTTTGCATCATTTGCACTCCCAACCTCCTTTCTGGTTCCAAAGTGGAATCTTCCTTTGTAAAAACTTGCTTTCTGCTTATCAGGATATCACTCTCTCTGTTCCCAAATTCCTAACCCAGTATAAAATCCACAAAATATTGTGTTCTCAACCTTCCTTCAGCAATAGAGATATTCACGCCGACTTGGTAACAGATGATACTTTTCAGCAAGCATTACTTTTAACATTTGCATATAGAGAGGCAGTTCTAGAGAACAAACTTTTAATGGCAAACATTAAACACAGTAGGGATCTTTGAGGGGCCCACACTCTATTTCTCAAATCAATTCTGTATCGGTCTAGCTCTGCAAAAACAATTAAAGGGAAAAAGTCAGTTCAATTCAATTCAATCTGAAATTCAAGAAAGATTTCAGTATACTTGATCTCGTACAAGGGCACTACAAAAGGAAAGACCACAGGAAGTAATTAGAAAAGAGAAATAATGAAGAAATCCATAAAGTCCTAACAATCCAACTTTCCACAGATAAACGGTTTAAATGTTGCACACATACTGTCAGTGAACACACTGAAGATTATGACATTGGGGTCTGGGCTCCCAGCATGAAATTGTCAACAGCAGAGGAACAGTTTTCTAAATGTAAGATTAGGATTTTTTTTTCTTCAACAATTGAGCCATTCTGTGATATTATGTGACACAGAGAAAAAGTAAGAAAGAAAAAGCCACCAAGTTATTCGACCATAAGATGATCTAATTAACAGCTGAGGAACTGGAGGGAAAGTCATCTCCAATACTGGCTGCCACTATAAGCCTGGAGTAGCAGACCCAGAACTCACCCTAAGCTCCACCCCTGCATGTGTGTGACTTTGAACAAACTACCCAAGTTCTCTAAGCCTCAGTGGGCTCATTGTTATAGTCATGGAGATATAATAGCACCTACCTAAACATTGTTTTGGTGCAGATTATACAACATCCTCAATGTCTCTTAGGGCCAAGTTTAAGACATAATAAGAACTCAAGAGGTGTTTGTCCCCTTCCTCCTTTTTTTTTTTTTTTTTTAAATTTTTTTCTTTTTTTTAACGTTTATTTATTTTTTGGGGACAGAGAGAGACAGAGCATGAACGGGGGAGGGACAGAGAGAGAGGGAGACACAGAATCGGAAACAGGCTCCAGGCTCTGAGCCATCAGCCCAGAGCCCGACGCGGGGCTCGAACTCCCGGACCGCGAGATCGTGACCTGGCTGAAGTCGGACGCTTAACCGACTGCGCCACCCAGGCGCCCCCCCTTCCTCCTTTTTTAAATAAAGGGAACATCTGTATAATGTTCAAATAATAACCATTATTGAAATCTCACCCACTGAAATAAATATATATGCGTGAACTTCTGGATGTGAACGAAATGAGGTCTTCTCGTTGAGAAACATGGTAGTCTCAACCAGGCTCTAGAGAAATAAACCAGTTAGACTAGCTCGTTGCTAAGGCCTTTCTTTTTTACACTATTCGTGGTTCTGGATGTTAGAAGAAGCATTAATAAAATCCCAAAAGGACAATCAATGGTTGCGGTTGGAAACACTGAAGACGATTTTGTGGATTGATCAAGCACTGTTTCCTGTATCTGCTAGATTCCTGTAGAAAAAGCTCTCAACAGCACCCTTCGTGGCTTAGAAGGGCTCCACGCTGCGACCAGAGAAAACCTACCAGTCAGGTTCCACGGAGAGGAGGGTCCCACCACACCTTTCTCAGTCACCATTCTCAGCGGTAGAGAACTCACCAGGGGCTAAATTTAATGTGTGGCTGAATTAGCTTCTGCAAGCTCCATTTCCCCTCCTGATCCACTTGCTGCTTTATGGTGTCAAGAGCAGCCTTTCCCCAGAGAGCAGCACTGGGACATTCTGCAGCGTGTAGGCCAACGAAATGTCATGACAGCAACCCACCCACGGTGGTCAGGATGACCAAAGGGAGGTCAAAAAAGGCAGTGTTCGAGGCTTGATCCGCGAGCACCGTTTGAGGGGAAGCGGGGCAGACTATGAAGGCAGTGTGGACCATTGGCGTCCTTGACTGCTTTGGTCCTCCCCGTGGGCCATTTGAATTTGCACGCGGGCAACAGGTCCAGAACCCCGCCCCAGGAGGGATGCCCGGAGACTCCAGCACAGAGTTTTTTTTCCATGCGGGTCTCCGGAGTAAACGTGCCTCTGAGCTGCCGCGCGTGAGCCTTCCGTCTTGTGGGGCGCATCGCAGTAATTGAAACCTTACATACCGCAGGACTGCAGCGGCGTCTATAAATACTCACCGCTTTACTGCTGACAAACAAAACGCGGGCTCCCGGCACCGCGGAGGAAGAGGCGGCGGCATGTGACCCAGGGCAGGGGCTGGCTACAACAGGGGAAAAACCCTGTTGCCAAACAGGGAGGTACCCCAGAACCGATTCCTGAAGCACAGTTTGCAAGCACACAGCCTGATCTGACCCGGGGCGCCCGCCCTCGGAACAGGGGCAGAGGGCGGCGAGGGAGGGTCGCGGTCCCGGGAGCCGAGGCTGCGGAGCGCCCCCCAGCGCGCAGGGGGCAGCCCGCGTGCGCACAGTAGGCGCGCAGGAGAAAGCCTCGCCAAATAGAGGGCGGGCTGGAAAGCCGACGCGGAACCGGGGTGCGGCTGACGCCGACAGCCGCCCGCCCCAGCCGGGTGTCCCGCGGGCTGCGCCCCGGCCCGCCCCAGTCGGCGGAGCCCAGTGGCCCGCGGGACAAAACGGCTGTCCTCCCTCCCACGCCTGCTTCTGCAAAAGGGGGACCGCAGGAAAAGATGGGCTGTTCCTGGGCTCCCAATCGCCCGCGCCCCAGCCGGGGCAGCTCTTTAGATTTGCACCCTGGGGCCGAGGGACAACTAGAGAGGCAAGCAAGCAAACTTTCTTTTTCGATCTCTTGGCCCAGCCTGGGTCCCGCGGTCGGCGGCATCCCCCCGCCCCCAACCCGCGCTAAGCCGCAGACGCTGGGCACCGCTTCCCTCCGCCTCAACTCGGGGGTCGCCCGTTCGGTACTCTACGCCCGCCTGCTGCGTGGGATCCGAGGATCCTTAACCGCACGGGGGTCCCCATCCGGCTGCCCCCAAATGTGACGCCCTCCCCACGCACCCCCTGCCCGCGCCCCGCAAGCCTGTGACCGGAGTCCACGGCGATTTCGTTCTCAATCCAGAGCGGTTGCTGAGCCGACAACGCCAGCCCCTCCCGGGGACTTCCCCACTCCCCCCCTGGGGGTCCCGGGGCTGAGTCACCTCGAGTCGCACACACCCGCAGCTCCCCTCTGCGCGCCCAGGACAAAGTTTCCGGTGTTCCCGAGAAAGTTTTCTCACCAAAGAGCAACGAGGGACCTGGATGGCTCTCCCGCCGCGCTCTGCCCAGCTCTTCCTCCTCCCTCCCTGCGCAGCGCTGGCCTCCGCGGGGTCCCGTCTGGCCTCGGGTCCCCCAGCGCGGGTTCACAAACGCCGCGGCCGCGGAGCTCCCCGAGCCGGGCTGGTGACACGTTTCCCTCCTCTCTCCTCTCAAGGCCGCCTCCTCCCCCTGCTTCGTCTTCTCCTCCTCCTCCTCCTCCTCCTCCTCCTCCTCCTCCTCCCACTTTTCCTGTCCTGTGCTCATCGCTTTAGTTTTTCTCCTGCAGCCCCTACCCCACCTCACCCCACCTCAACCCCTCCCACTCCTCCTCCCCTGCAGCGACTCGCACTCTGCTGGGGAGGGGAGCAAGGGGGAGGGGGCGCCTGCACTTTCATCCAGATCAACAATTTCAGGAAATCCAACTCTTAACTTGAAAAGCGGAGGAGGATGCAACAGGTCAAGGGAGCTCCCACAAGACAACACACTCCCCACCCCCCAACCTCCACCAAGGGATCTCCGACGCGTCTCCCCACCCTGGGAAACTCTACCAAAAAGCCATGGGGTTGATTCTAAGGTTCACTAGAGTCCCCACAGTTTAGGGACTTTTGTTGTTGTTTCAAGGAACAGTCCCCAGGCCGATTCCAGGAACAGTTGTTTTAAGTGTATTAATGAAAATATAATTCCAGTGAAGTCTCCCTTAGATTTGCAAAACCCTTTTAAAGCTCTCAAATTCTCTTTCCAGCTGAAGGTTTAGTGAGTTGGAGGGTCCCTCAGAGTGTGAAACAAGAGAAAGTCAACCAATCTCAAAATTAAAAACAATGTAAAATTATTTTCAATTTTTTTTTTTTTTTTTTTTTTTTTTTTTTTTGCAGGTGGTAAGAATTTGAGGCAGCTGTTTTCAGGACTCACTGGCTTGTATAATTTCAGCCTATGGTTGAGCAGGAAATACTTTTAAAATGCTGCCCGCTCAAATATCACACTTAGGCTTTGAAACCACAGTGACATTTGCTGAAGAAAAGATGTATGTGTCTTTTTATGTCAAAACTGAGAGAAAAAAAAAATAAGTGTTTATTTTGATCACTGTGTCCTAAAAAAACTTATGTTTGAGGATGGGTTGCTGGTCAGGGTGTGCCCAAGGGAAGGGGTTTGGTGAAGCTCCCTGAGCCCCACTTGTCCAATGATATTAAAGTATTCTCAAACCCCAGGGTGATGAAATCTCATCCCAGAAAGCACACACAAGGAAAGGACCGCGCTCCAGCACGTGTCTCGGAAAGAAACGCTTGAGGGGCAGTGACTTGGGAGACATCTTCAAGGCAGCTGTGCTGAGGTCTTCAGAGCCCAAGCCTAGAGCCAGAAGGTCAAAGTTTGTATCCCACCTCCTCTTGTAACTAGCTGCAGGATATTAGCCAAGTTACCTAGCCGTGCTATGCCTCAGTTTACTCCTATGAAAATGAGGAGGAAAGTAGTAGTGATCACAGGGTTGTTATGAGAATGTAATGAATTCAGATGGAGGAAGAGCTTAGAATCTCTGCCTGGATTCAACAGAACTTAAGCCATTATTATTACTGTATTATCCTGCAGGTCAGGGAAGTGAAAAAGGAGCTATTTCTACAGGACTACAGGAAGCCCTTAGCTGGGCTCATTCTACATTCGAACTCATTCTACACTCATTCTACATGGCTAACTCCCTTATCTCCTTCAAGTCTTTGTTCAGTGAGGCCCATCCTCTTCTGTCCACGTGAAATTGTAACTCACTCAGCTCTCCCTCCCAAGCCCCCTCATTAGACTCTACTTTTTCTTTTTTCCACTGCATCTATAACCTTGTAACATATTACAGATTTTACTTTTTTAAGAAAATTTATCTCTCTCCCACCGCCTCCTACTTCTAGGCCGTACCATCAGCTCTCCAAGAACATGGAATTATTCCATTCACTGATATTGCCCAAGATCCTAGAACAGTGCCTGGCACACAGTGTGCACCCAGTAAATATCAGATGAGTGAATCCGTGAATGGATTGGGCACTGTGCAATAAGAAAAAAAAATGTAATCACTAGGCCTATCCAGGGATAGGGATAAAAGAGGCTCCCTCTGGAAGAAGTATACTCCCTAGTAAAGAGAAGTACCCACAATGTAGGCAACACCAGCTTGGTGGGGACGCCATAAAAGCGTATTCAAGGACTGGAACGGAGGTTTAAAGAGGTTAAAGTCTCTTCTAAACCTAAGAGTTGCTAACTTTGTAATCTGAATTTTCTCAAAGTGAGAAGTAGCCGACACTGGTGTAAATCAGTCAGAGCTTCTCTCTAATAACGCTTCCTACCACCAATATCTTACACTTGTTACCACCCACATTTTTACCAAAACTTCAACTAAATGCCAATGGAACATTGCCTTTTCTTTCAAAAAACAAAAATTTTTTTTTAAGTTTATTTATCTATTTTGAGAGCGAGAGCAAGAGCTAGAGAATCCCATGTGTCAGAATCCGCACTGACAGTGTGGAGCCCGATGTGGTGCTTGAACTCATGAACTGGGAAACATGACCTGAGTTGAAATCAAGAGTCAGATGCTCAACAGACTGAGCCACCCAGATGCTCCTGCAACATTGCCTTTTCTTAAGAAACAGGATTTTGTTAGGAGAAACCAACACAGAGATCATTCTATGTAAACATTCATTCATGGAAGTGAAAAGTCTAGGTCTTTATAAGACATATCAGGTACACAGCCATGTGCCATGGCCACAGCCCCTAGAATGGAAGTTGGCCCAATCAAGGTCCCTCCTGAAAAGGCAGGCCTTAGACAACACCTTTAAGATCAAGGGCAGGTACTTAACCCAAATGCAGCCAAACTCTGTGACAAACCTCTGTGACAAACTCTGGCCCTGCAATGGTATACTGGACCAATCAGATTCCATTTCAGGAATGAGAACACACACACACACACACACACACACATACACACACACACACACACACACACACACACACACACACACAGCTAGTATCCAGAACAGAAGCTGAGAGGTCATGACTTTATCTAAACTCTGGATTCTGGAAGCTGCAGATTGGCCACCTGTGGACCAGCTAGATGTATATTAGATGTAGCATATTTTTTGAACCCAGTAGCGTCAACGTTTTTTAAATTACTTGCTGATATGTAAAAATCAGAACACCTCGTGCAAAAATATGGATTTTCAGCTTGCCTTGGGAAATCAGAAATATGTGGCACTGTTTGTGCCGTAGGCTGGTACAGCCACAACCGGCTACTGCTATAATGCTTCTCCCTGTAGACGGGATATGGGGTGTTCAGTTTGCCACAGTCCCAACCACTCACTCCCTATTTCTCCTGACCCCAGCCTGCTTCACCCACTTCCCGGCCACCCGTGGCGGCGCAGTGAGGGAAGGGATGCTGGCACCTAGGAGGGGCCAGAGCTGGGGATAAGCAGACACGATGCAATAGAACAGCATAGGTTCAAATCATTTTTCTCCCTAGCAAGAGAACCTTTTCTTTAAAACCTTGCTTGACGTTGCATAGCTTGAACACTACTGAGGTGAAGGAAGCTATGGGATAAATACGGAGGCAAGTGGGCATCAAGCCAGGGAGAAGCAGAGGCCTCCTTGGGCTGCCTTGGGATCAAAACCACCCTCCGGTTCTCACTCTTCCAGAGATGCGTCATTCTCCTTTTTCTTTGTTTCTGCAACAATGCCTGCTCAACCCATCCTCATAACTCATTTCTAGCCCCAGAAGTCTAATCGGGCCAAGTTCAGAAAGGGCAAGGTGACCTGTCTGAAGTTATACACAAGGTAAAGATAGGCTAGGGCAGGGATTCCCTGACTCCACTATACTCCCTCTTGGTGAGGGTAACTGCATCTGTCTCTGAATAATAATTAAAGTCACTTCAGTTTACAAAATCAGAGTATTTAATGCCTCGAGGATCTATAGTATACAGTGGGTGTAAAATACGTATCTGCCAACTTCAGGCATTCAAGGTTAGACCTC